CAATCATATTCCTATAATTCCTATTGGTAATTGGAATTATTGATAGCAACTTCATCCATTTCAACGACAATCAATTCTAAATTTTATCTTTTAGTATTATTCAATAAAGGTTTCTTGTATGAATTTTACTTTGTCTGGAATTTACCTGATCATAATCATAGTATGCAATAGAAAGGGCAACATTTGCACAATTAGCTTCCTTTTCTTTCTATTAATATTATCGTTAAACAAAAAGAAAACATTATCATTTCTCTAAAAATATTTTTATTCACGTCTAATGTTTTTTATCTCATAGGTAGCTTTGTCTGTTTGTTGTCCTTTGAAAAAGTTAATTTGATAGGTTTCGGGACGCCCATGAAATTGAATGTCAATAGTTGATGGTCCTCGACTAGAACAATAAAACTGAAATGCTTGCTCAATCTTATTTTCCACCGTTTGTTCGTAACGCATCCAAGTGGCATGTTCGTTTGAATAGAACCAATTTCGATTATTTGTTAGATTGCTTACTAGTCGACGATCAATCGGTTGTTGATAAAACGTTTTCGTATTTGTTTGTCTATTTTTTTGAAAATCAATTTTATATGTTTCAGAAATATCATCTAAATAGCGAGTCAATAGTGGAGTTTCGATCTCGGCAGGTCCATCATGTAGTTTCCAATGTTCATAAATTTTCTCCAGTAGTTCATTCATAATATCATTATACGGTTCAAATCGTCCATTATCTTGCTGACAATACCATCGAAATGGTGCAATCCAAATAGATTCTTTATCAACATAGTAAGGTATCTCAGCAGGAAAAGGAGAAGGTTGCTTAGCGGCATATTGTCCATAAGTGACAATTAGCACGGGCAAATTAAAAGCATACGTCCAATCTGTTGGATTATCAACAACATAACAAAAATTTTCTTTTGTTGTAACTTGTGTACAACGAAGAATAAATGCAATGATCATTTGACTAAATCCTGCATGACTGCCTCCTTTCTGACAATAACTATGTGAAATAACAGCTGTGACTCCAAAATATTCACCACGACCATAGGCTTGAGCTGAACGACGTTTGGGATCAAAGCCTGTTTTACAGATAGAATCAATTGCTTCAAGAGGTGTTCCATGATAAGCAAAAAATCCTTTGGCTAAATCTGGTGGAAAAGAATGGCCTAATCTTTTGTTACCTTCATAAAAACGTGATAACGATTCATATTCTTTTCTAAGATAGGGATTTTCATAGATTGGACCAGTTGGTTGTACTATCGGATCAAATGGCCAATTATCTTCGACAAATTTTTTTGCAGCAACAAAAAGTGTAGACAGGAATGGATGACGTTTCTTTTCTTCTACGACTTGATCACAAGTCATTTCAGCATGAAGTTCATCATCGATAACTTGACATCTGGGACAAACATTTTGGCCACAGGTTAAACAAGTCTGATAACCATTATTAAGTCTAATTAATCCATTACATTCATCATTAGGACAGAAGATACGATCATCTTGTTGAGGATTTGTTGTTAAATAATGCTGAATGGAACTTTTAAGTAAAGGTAGAAGTAATTGTTCATTATTACTAAAGATAATCTGAATATCACGAATGTGAATGTTTGATTGACAAGTTTTGCATCGAAAAGGAAACGTATGAGATGTAGCAAGAGCTTGTGCAGCACAGCGACAATAAGTATGACCACAAATACGAAAAAAACTTGCAGAAATAGATGATTTTTGATGGCAAAAAACACATCGACGTTCTAGTCGTCGTGTTCCAAAACGTATCACATCACTGTCAATTCTCACATCGTTGTTGTCGTCTTCTTCTTCTTTTTCTTCATCATCACTTTCTGTATCATCGGTGCTAGCGATTGTCTCGTTCAGAAGTTGTAAAACTTCATTTTCGCAAGTGTTCATATCTGTTAATGAGACATCTGGTTTACTAATGATTGTAATTGTCGCTGTTTTGGAATTGAATGAAACCGAACAAGATTTCGATGACCATCGTGAATCAATCTGCTGTAATTTACCCGATGCTGATTTTTGTTGACCAAAGAATGTCGCTACAGTTGCACTGAGTTCAAGTTCACGAAAACGTCTATTGAAATCATCAGAATAATCAGCAATTCGTCGCATTAATTGTCCTTGAGATGTTTGTGGTCCTCGAATTTCAATATTCGTAAAATATTTATTCGGATTGATTGCTAAGCATAACTCCTCGGCCCATTTTTGTATTTCACCAATTTCTTCCAATTCACGAAATAATTGTTTCTGTCGTTCTGTATTCAGAATAATATTGATGGGTGCAAAAGTCTGCGAAAGCATTGAAGCAGCTAAACTTGTCTTTTGAGGACTTCCATGACTGAATGTACAACGTTTACCAAAGTTTGGAATATGTTTACATTTTACTTGGACACGAAATCTATTACAAATACCATCGATCGTTTGTTGAAAGTTAGGATATAAATCTGTTCGAAGAATAGTTACTGTTGCTGAGCTATCTACCGTCCATTGTGATGTATCGCAAGCATTAAAAACAGATGTAGTCGATGTCTGATTCATACTTGTTTTTCGTGTTTGGGAAGAAAATATTTGTAGTGCAGCTTCACGACTGATCGTAGTGATGAGAAAAATATTTCTAAGAAAAGAAGACGATTGATTGTGTCTTATATTAGGATCGTCATTCTTCATTACGCTAGTTCGAACATATTTTTGTTTCAAACCTCTTTTTCCCATAATAGTTATTCCAAATATAGTCTGACATAGTTTCGATTCATAGATAGTTGCAGCTTGATTACGTTGTTCATCATTATAAAATGTTATTTTTGCCCATCCACTTGCATTATTTTTCGTACGTCCAACATACATATATTTGGGAGTAGGACCATTATAATCTTGAAGATATTTACGAAGACAAGCTTCATCAGTAGTGATTGGCAAGTTATTTAATTTAATGAACGATTCTAAACGAGATTTTTCATTCAATTGTATACATTTTATCACCACATCAGCACCGTATCGATTGATAATATCTTCGACGGTAACATTTGGTGAAGTTTGAATCACAAGTTCTCTACCCAAGCTTTCTTTTTCACTATCATAATATCTACCGAAATTATTTCCTTGAACAACCATATAATACGAAGGAATTGTGATTGACGCTCGTCGAAATATATCTTCATTTTTGAAAACAAGATATACATATTTCTTTTGATTATCATTATTGTTCATCTCTGATGCCACTTTTACGTTGTAAAAACCATGTGCTTTAATTTCACTCCATGCGATACCGATGATCTTTTTAACCCAATCTTTTAATTCATTCATTGTATAACAGGGAACATTTTGAAGATGAAGTTTTAATGCATCAGACATTTTATTGATATGTGTACATACTAGACCACTTTGAAAATTTGCTTTAATTGGTCCACATTCTAACAATTCATACGCATCGAAAAGTTTTTTCAGTGTTTCGTCTTGAGAATGTTGAACAATAGGTAAAACAGTAGATCGATCTGTTTCAAGACCCCAGAGAATGAAACGGCATTGAGATCGATCATAATGATAAACGAGCCATTTTGCCCATGATTCCGAACGATAAGTATTTAATTTTTGATGCAAATGATAACCATATTCAAAACCGATATTTTCAATCGTGATCAGATTTTGTATAGATGACTGTACTGTGACATCTGATCTAAGTATCGGATGAAGTCTTTCAATAATATACCTTCCCGATGGTAATTGTGTGATGGTCATTGCAACAAAATGTTGATAAAGTTCACGATCTGAATTCATATGAAGCTTTTGCATAAATACACTTGTGTTGGTAATATTTCCACGAATATCAGTTGATACTAAACGAACACCTTCCACTGGTAATTGTGGAACAAGTAAATAACCACATTGTTCAGAAAAGAGTTTGGCAAGATGACTACCAATAATTTTAATTACATCTTCTGACATTTTATGACCAGGTTGAAGCCAACGAGTATTCCTGATTTGTTTGATAATCGATGTACATAATCCATCAATATGTTGTAGAATTTTGTTATTTAAACTATTTTCATTACTATGTTTCACTCGACATGTACAATATTTAACTAATCTATTACATTTTGAACATTTGCCTTGTATTTCTTGTCCACCAGCATTTTTCCATCGATCATAAACCGAATACAAATGAATAAGATCACTTTCATGATTGTGTGCTTCAAGGGCAACACGTGCTTTTGCTTCTTGCTTTGCTTCTTGTGTCGCACCACCCATGAAGAAAACTATACCTGGAGCTGATAGAATCGCCACTATAGCAACTGCCAGATCTAACAGACTCTTATATTCGGTATAAATATCCACGATAAAAGCACTCAGACGTGGATCAAGTGCAAGTTCAGTAAACAATTCGCCCCTTTTTGTAATCTTTTGTTCATCTATACATTTGAGTTTCGTAAGGAGATCGAAGGAATGACTGATAGAATCACTATGTGGTTGATCCATAAATGGAAAGGTTTTTGGATCAAAGTTCAATCGAATAAGTTGTAATAGAACAAGATCGAGTGATGATCGGAGAATTTCTGGTTCAATATTTGATCGTATTAACTCATTATCTTCATATAAACGAACACAATGCCCAGATGCAGTTCGTCCAGCACGACCTTTACGTTGATCAGCAGAAGAACGTGAAATACGTACAGTTTCGATTACAGTGAGACGACGTTTTACATCATAATGAGCTTCTTTAACTAATCCAGAATCAATTACTAATCGAACATTTGGAATAGTCAATGATGTTTCAGCAACATTAGTACAGAAAACAACCATTCGTTTGTCTGTTTCATTAAATTTAATTACTTTTTCTTGATCTTCGGGTGATTGTGAACCATAAAGTGGAAGTGCAACACAATCATCGGGTAACATAGATTTAAATATTTTTAGTGCTTGTTCAATTTCACCTTGACCAGGAAGAAAAACAAGTGTATGTCCTTGATGATGAGGATAAAGTTCGACAATCGAGGGAACAATATGTGATACGATTAGTTTTTGATCGGAGCAGTTTAACGGTGGCGGTTTCTCATCTTTGCTAACAGAAAAAATTCGACCTTTTACTTCCAGAAGTGCACTCGTAGGACGATCGAAAAACTGAAGAAAATGAGTAGGATCAATTGTAGCCGAAGCAATAACAACATAGAAATCATCGGGACGTTGTGCAAGTAAAAGTTTCGAAATACCAATGACAATATCGGTATTCAATGAACGATCATGTGCTTCATCAATGATTAAAACACGAACATGTTTCAAAATAGGATCACGTTGACTTTCTCGAATAAGTGCAGCATCGGTCATGAACATAATATCAGTTCCTTGTACACGATTTGCATTGCCGGCTTGATATCCAACTGATTCACCAACTGATTTTCCATCGTACTCTTCTGCAACACGACGAGCTAGTGACAGTGCAGCAACAACACGTGGTTGAGTACAAACGACAAGTGAACCAAAATATTCAGCAGCATATTGGGGAAGTTGTGTACTTTTACCACTACCGGTCTCAGCAGTGACGATTAAAATACGTTCATGTTCAAGACGTTGACAAAATGTCTCTTGGCAGGATAAAATCGGTAATTGAGTTTTCTCACGATCTTTGATTCTTTGCTCCAGAGTTTTTAAATATTTTTTCTTAGTTTTTTGATTCTTGTTTTTAATGCTGATGTTAGTAGGAGATGCTGCTTCCTTTTGCTGAATAGTGATGTCGCGTTCAAATGAATGAATTTTTGAACATTGTTTATCTTCACATTCATCTCCTGCTTCGCATGGATCCCATTCTGGTTGATGAAGATGAGTGCAGTTAAAGTTTGGACATACATCCGGTTTATCACATACTGGTGGTCGTTCAGGTGGATGATTTGATCTACAGGAAAGATCACGACAATCAACTCCAAGTAAACAGAGTAATCTATCACGTTCTGGTGGATGTAGACATAAACAAGTCAGATTTGTACAGTTCTTTTTATTAGGACATAGTCGAGCTCGAATACGTGGATGTAATCCTGGACAATCCCATCGTTTACACTTTGCACGTAAATAACATTCTTTGACTCGCGTTTTCGGATGTAAGAATTTGCAATTACTAACTTTACAATGATTATGATCATGACATTTTGCTTTTCGTTTGTAAGAATGGTTGGCTGTACATTCATAATTTTCACATTTTTCTCCATCAATACAAGGATTCCATCCGTTGGGATGATTAAAAATACAGTTCACGTTGAAGCATTTTATACCATTAAGACATAGTTTCGATCTTGTATAGGTCGACTGAATTGAACTCATCGAGAGTAATGAGCTCATTGACGAACTAGAATCACTTCTACTGCGACTTGGATCATATGTATTCAGATTTCCTTTGTTGTCTGTCATATTGTCTTCTCTTACATGAGCTAATTCACATTTTGAATTTGTACATGATTCGTAATTTACACATCGTTGATGACGATATTCGCATTCGTTAATTTTCTGTCGGCATGCTCCTTTATTCTCATTAGGACATAACGGACGTTTGTCTTGAGTATCTTGATTCTTCAATAAATTTCTTGTTGAGGGACGATCTTCAATAAAACGTTAGATTTTCTTAAATTCTGGATTATTAAGCAGTAGTGGACAATAGTACCCAGTCCTTGGGGAAATTGTTTTCGTTTATGAAGAAATACTTCACCCCACATAAAGTCATGCATATAAAGGAGAAATGGAAAAAAAGAATAATATATATATTATATATTATATGATATTGCACATATTGTTAAATACAAGGAGAAATGGAAAGAAAAAAATATGACCATGTTAAATAAATCGCGGGATCGTCAGTTGTAAATCTAGTACTGACGATTCAACACGTGTATACGGCTATATATACAGAACAGAAAAAAATATGATCGATATCTCTGTCTTTTAGACTTCTTCTTGTTGAAGTAGAAATGGATGAAGGACTTCTGCTTAAATTTTTTTCCACTTCTACTGTGTGATCTTCTTAGAAGAAAAGAGTCATATGATGGTTTTCTGTTACCTGGTATTTTAACCATTTCTGCTAGAACAACTCCTTAAGAGAAAAAAAGTCATTGATTTCTCTTTAAATATTTTCCATTTTCCCTTATTAGTAGGGAAATGGATGAAGCATATTTCACCTAATATTTTAACCAGAAGCACTTCACTTGGTATTTTAAGCATTTCTGCTGGAAAAAATCGATATCCGCTAGAAGATGTTTTTAATAGAAAAATGAAAATTATCCATTTCTCTTTACATATTCTCGATTTCTCCTTATTGATATGGAAATGGATGGAACATTTCACCTGATATTTTAACCATTTCTGCGGGAAAAAATCCATTTCTGCTATAGGATCTCCTTAAAGGAAAAAATTTGATATTGAAAAAAGAATTTCTGCTTGACTTTATGTGGTTAAAGCGTTTCTGCTGGAAGTGGAACAGTTTTCCTTTGTAGTCGGGAAATCGTCCAGCCCTCTTATTAAGAGTTCGGTTCATCAAGAAAACTGAGTCATACCTTTAGTATATCTATATGTTAATTTAACAGACTTCTTCGTTAAAGTTAGCTGATAGGTTTGATTTTATTTATCAGTACAAAGCAACTTACTTGGTTTTTGTAGGTTCTGGAATGTATCTTGATCTTTATTAGAATGATGAAATGACGGTGCTGATGTAATTAGAACATTAGAATTTTCTCGTCTTATTTTAGGTTGTGTCGAAAGTCCAGAGCTATGCTGTTGATTTGGTAGTGGTTCAATACCAGATGCTAGTAATTTCTGGGATAAACGAGGTGAATTAAATTGATTACTTCTCGGCGATGATACAATACATATGATATGCTGACCCAGAATGAATGCCCCTGACCATTGGCGTACAAATTCATTTGCTTCTTCTTCATCGGCAAAATCATTGATCCAAGCATAAGGAGTATTATTCTTGAAAATTTTCGGAATATATATACGAGATTTTGGTAGACGGAGTTCTTGAGCTAGTCTAATGTAATTGATAGATGCAGGAAGATGATCGATTCGTACACTCCATTTACTAGATGAATTATTCAATGTCATTTTCTATCTATGAGATTTAATCTAAAAATACAGATAAAGGGTGTTCAGAAAGTTTTGAAGCAATTTTAAAATCCATGGTTCTCGAGTTTAACAAAAGCAAACTCTTTGAAACTTTTACCGATTATTCCACATATGAAGTACTACATAACTACAAAGTTTGAGGTCTATAGTTTTGACTATGCATGAGAAACTGTAATATCACTGTCATATGCTATTTTTAAAAATTGCCTGCAGCTTTTGCCTCAAATATTTTTCAAAACAAATTACATATTCGGAATCAGCATTAAATTCTGCACCTGTTAGTGTATAATTCAAAAGAATTAAAAAAAACAAATTTCAGTGATTTTGGGGTCTCCTACAAGTCCAAAAAGACGGGTAAAAAAATGAGGGTCGTCTTTCGACAGAAAAAATATATTATTTTTTACTCAGTTTTACGCAGAATTTAATGCTGATTTCGAATATGTAATTCTTTTTCAAAAATGTTAAGTCAAAAAAATGGTCTTATCGATACTTGTCCTTTTAATTGCAGGCAATTTTTAAAAATAGCATATGACAGTGATATTACAGTTTCTCATGCATAGTCAAAACTATAGACCTCAAACTTTGTAGTTATGTAGTACTACATATGTGGAATAATTGGTGAAAGTTTCAAAGAGTTTGCTTTTGTTAAACTCGAGAACTATGGATTTTAAAATTGCTTCAAAACTTTCGGAACACCCTTTATGTTATATGAAACTATAGTCGCAACTGTGAGTCAAACAACAGCATTTCATCACCACAATTTTTTTCCCAGTTCTCTTTCTCGTTCTATTTTAACGTTGAAGAAGAGAGCGAATCATGATGTCATACGATGGTTTAGGTAGACATTGGAAGATGCTCTGAAACGAGCCTATCGAAAACTAAAGAAAAGATATAAATATGTCACTATAGAATTTCGTAAAAAAATCAAATTTATCTTAATTGTGATTAGCACATTCAATATTTCGAGAACTAACATTTCTCATCGATATCTATCTTGAGACTGAGAGTATCAGTCTAGCTACCGTTATCATGATTTCGTCCTTTCTAAAGGCCTCTTCAGACGGCTTTAGTATCATATCTGTCCAAATTATCAGTGAAACAATCATTTTTTTAAATTTCGCTTTCTTCATTGTTACACTCGGAAGTGCTTACAAAGATATCGAACGCATTTACAACTGTTTGATTAACACGACCATACACGATATACGCATACAAGAAAGCACAACAGAGTTATAAGATGCCACGTGATGTAGATAAAATGTGAAGAAAAACGAAAGATAAAAGGAAGGAGTAATAAGAAAAAAAAAGGGGGACCAGTAGAAGAAAAAAGGAAAAGGAAAGAAAGAGGAAAGAAGATGAATGCGAGGGAGAAAAAGGAAAAGAGTAGTACTCACATAGTAATACACGGACTCCATTCGTACAGAAATTCAAGCCATTGAAGAAGCAGTGATTGATGCCTTGCACGTATCTGTCTAACTCGTTTCATTCGGAAAAAATGTCCCAGATGATCATTTTTATTTTTACGGAACGCATCCCAATAAAATATATCATTGTAAAAGGGCAAGCGTCCTAAATCAGATTTTTTAATCCGTTCTAATCTTTTCTTTATATATGTCACAGTTGACATGGGAATTCAGTTGAGTTTGGAATGCATGTTAATCATATGAGTCACACGATAATTAATGTTCGTTTACTATTGTATTCAACTTTTGTAATTTTAGCGATTCTAAATGATTGGTCGAACTTCTATGATTTATTTTGAATTATTTTAAAATATTTACATATAGGAAATTTTCATTTTTAACTATTCTTATTTAGTGAGTATTAGAATTTTATGAATTTTATTCATCTCCTTATAATTAATAGATTGATGTTCGTTGCCATGGAACATTCAATCAAGAAACACATTCTATGTCTGTTTGTTTTTAATTACATAAATTTTTTTTTCATGTGAATCTCTTACAAAAAATGGGCATTCTTAATTCTCAACTACAATCGTACATTGATAAATTTTCTCATAATAAGTCTATCGAATAGACAATCAACAATCCGTTTATAGTTCAATTATTAATCAATCAATTCAACATCAGATCGGGTGCTATTCTAAGTAGCATGAATCATTCAATTTCAATTATTTAACAACGAATTTGCTAACACTAAACATTTAACCAATCATTCAATCCCCCCATATCACGAGCATCGAAAAAAAACTATTTTATAACAACAAATAGCTCAAATACTCTCGATTTCATTTCAACCAATGATTCAATGTCCCCATGTCCCGCTGCTCGAAAAAAA